CTAAGTGAAAAATCACTCCAGGAAAAATTCCGAATTCATTCTTTATAATTTTAATTTTTTTCTGGAAAACTGGCAGAAGGAAAATTGTGGAAATTTTCCAGAAAAAAAAGTAGGGAGTTCATTATAGCAAAATTTCAAAATTTTCCAGTGAAAAACCACTACAGGAAAAATTCTGGAAAATTGACTTATTCAAGCAAAATTAAGGAAAATTCATCCTCTTACATTTTAATTTTTTTCTGAAAAACTAGCAAAGGAAAAATGTTGAAAATTTTCCAGGAAAAAGAGAAAAGTGGGGAGCTCATTATAGGAAAATTTCAAAATTTTCAAGTGAAAAATCACTCCAGGAAAAATTCTGGAAAATTGACTTTTTCAAGAAAAATTAGGGAAAACTCATCCTTTCACAATTCAATTTGTTTCTGGAAAATTGGCAAAATAAAAATTGTGAAATTTTTCCAGGAGAAAGACGAAAGTGAGGAGCTTATTAAAGGAAAATTTCAAAATTTTCTAGTGGAAAATCATTCCAGGAGAAATTCTGGAAAATTAATTTTTTTAAGCAAAATTCATTTTCTTACATTTTATTTATTTTCTAAGGAAAATTCACCCTCTTACATTTTAATTTTTTTCTAGAAAACTGGCAAAGGAAAAGTATTGAAAATTTCCCAGGAAAAAGAAGAAAGTGAGGAGCTCATTATAAGAAAATTTCAAAATTTTCCAGTCAAAAATCACTCCAGGAAAAATTCTGGAAAACTGACTTTTATGCTAAATTCATTCTTTTAATTTTAATTTTTTTCTGGAAAACTGGCAAAAGGAAAATTGTGAAAATTTTCCAGAATAAAGAAGAAAGTGAAGAGTTCATTATGGCAAAATTTTAAAATTTTCCAGTGAAAAATCATTCCAGGAAAAATACTGGAAAATTGACCTATTTAAGCAAAATTAAGGAAAATTCATCCTTTTACATTTTTTTTTTTTCTGGAAAACTGGAAAAGAAAAATTGTGGAATTTTTCCAAGAGAAAGAAGAAAATGGAGAGCTCATTATAGCATAATTGCAAAATTTTCCAGTGAAAAATTCTAAAAAATTGACTTTTTCAAGTAAAATTAAGGAAAATTCATCCTCTCACATTTCAATTTTTCTATGGAAAACTGGCAAAGTAAAAATTTTGCTATTTGTCCAGGAGAAACACGAAAGTGAGGAGCTAATTATAGGAAAATTTCAAAATTTTTCAGTGGAAAATCATTCCAGGAAAAATTCTGGAAAATTGACTTTTTAAAGCAAAATTCATTTTCTTATATTTTATTTTTTTGCCCAGAAAACTGGTAAAACGAAAATTGTGAGAATTTTTCAGAAAAAAGAGGAAAGTGAGGATCTTACTATAGCAACATTTCAAAATTTTAAAGTGAAAAATCACTCCAGGGAAAATTCTGGGACACTGACTTTTTTAAGCAAAATTCATTATTTTACATATTAATTATTTTCTGGAAAAATGGCAAAGTGAAAACTGTGAAACTTTTCCAGGAGAAAGACGAAAGTTAGGAGCTTATTATAGGAAAATTTCAAAATTTTCCAGTGGAAAATCATTCCAGGAAAAATTCTTGGAAATTAACTTGTTTAAGCAAAATTCATTTTCTTACTTTTTAGTTGAGTTCATTAAAGCAAATTTTCAAAATTTTCCAGTGAAAAATCACTCGAGGAAAAATTCTGGAAAATTGACTTATTTAAGCAATATTAGGGAAAATTCATCCTCTTACATTTTAATTTTTTTCTGGGAATCTAGCAAAGGGAAAATTTCGAAAATTTTCCAGGAAAAAGATAAGAGTGGGGAGCTCATTATAGGAAAATTTCAAAATTTTCCAGTGAAAAATTACTCTAGAAAAAATTTTAGAATATTGATTTTTCCAAGGAAAATTCATCCTCTCATATTTTAATTTTTTTTCTGCGATTGACAAGAAATGTCCGCATTTTTGACCGGTTGACAGGTCGCAATAGTATATTGTTGTATAAGGAGTAGAAGCTTTACTTTTTTGTGCTGAAGCAGTAGGTTTGCGAGCCGAACGTAGTGAGGCTTGCAATACTGCTGAAGCACAAAAAAGTGCTTCTACTCCGTATGCAACACGCTATTTTTTCTCCAAACTAATGGGATAAGCTCGGGGGCAAGTGAATGGTTGAGCGGCAGTAAAAACTGACAAAAGGAAAATTTTGAAAGTTTACCAGTGGAAAATAACTCCAGGAAAAGTTCTGGATAATTGATTTTTTTAAGTAAAATTAAGCAAGATTCATTATCTCACATTCAATTTTTTTTTTGGAAAACTGACAAAGAGAAAATTTTGAAAATTTTCCAGAAAAAAGTGAGGAGCTCATTATAAAAAAATTTCAAAATTTTCCAGTGGAAAGGAAAGATTGTGAAATTTCTCCAGGAGACATAAGAAAGTGGGGAGCATAATTTCGAAATTTTCCATTGAAAAATCACTCCAGGAAAAATTCTAGAAAATTGAATTATTTAGGTTAAATTAAGGAAAATTCACCCTCTTACATTTTAATTTTTTCCTGGAAAACTGGCAACGGGAATATTTTCAAATTTCTACAGGAGAAAGAGGAAAGTGAGGAGCTCATTAGAAGAAAATTTCAAAATTTTCCTGTGAAAAATCACTCCAGGAGAAATTTATTTATATATTTTCGGATAACTGAATAAACTCTATTCTAACGCCGTGCAACAAACTATATGTTTGTTTGGAATTTCAGACTTCAAAAAAAAGCCAAATGATGACGTAAGTACAAACCCTCGTGTAACTAACTTTTTTTTACGCGTCTCATTTCCTTTCCAACAAACCCCATCAAAAAAAAAAAAAAAAAAAATGGTGCTGCAGCACCCCTCAAAAGCTTAGTTATAGTTTGGTGGTTTGTTATTGACATTTGGAACATTCTGCAGAACAAAAAAATTATGTTGATCTTGTGATCTTACAGCAAATAATATCAATCAGAGCTGCTTTCGGGTGCCACCCTTTAAGAGCTCCTGAGTTACTCCGAAGTACTCCGGCCGGCTACAGTTTGACCCGTTCGGTTTCAAGCGTTCGAGTGCAAAACGCATAGAGTATGACAGGTATGTTTTCGAGTATCGGAAGGGCAACCAAATCTGACAGACAAACAGAATGACTAATCCAACCATTTTCCAAAAATAAAAAATATGGGTCTCCTGTTTTTTTTTTAAGAATCTTTGAACAAATTTCGTTGTATTTCTTTCCGGACACCCTGTATATAATTGAACTCCAGGGTACTTATTCTTGAAACAGGAGAGCAGCGTTCCCAGGAGGAAGGAGAACGAGTGTTCCGTCTTTGTTAGGTACTCATATTATCACTTGCATATCATTGGGAAAGACGGAAGACTCGTTCTCCTGGTAACGCCGCTCTCCGGTTTCAAGAATAAGGATCCTGGAAAAAATTCTACATAGAGATTCTGAGAGAATTGTCACAATGATTGTTTAACGTTACTGATTCAACCTTAGAGCAGATAAAGCACTGTCCTACGGAAATAAGGAGTAGGAACGCGCCATTCCTGCTATGAAACTAAAGTGAAGCCAAGTTTTTGGTAGGTATTTGGCAACATTGGCATTGAAATTGCCTATACCGCCATTTTTGGTGTCAAAATACCTGAAAAAAAACGGCTTCACTTTCCACTTAAAATCTGTTTTTTTTTTTAAGATAAAAGTCAAAATGACATTATGTTGGCAATGCAATGTAAAATTGTCAATGCTTTCAAATTTTTTATGTAGAAAAGGCTTGTGTTGCCAACATAGTTACAAAATTTTTGACTTGGGGAATTATCTTTAAAAAAAAACAGACTTTACCTGCTTTAGGATTCAACTAATTCTTTCCTAAGTTAAGAAGACGGAGAAACTAGTCTTAGAGGGTCAAATAAAGAGGGAGAGGGAAGACAGGTCTCAAGTCGCGAAGATGGCAACAAGTCGGGGAGATAAATACTCCGAAATCAAAACTCAGGTTCTCAAGGATGGAGGTTTATGTATCGGGCTTAACCACAGAAAAAAAAAACACCAGTCCGTCGATTTTAATCTGATACTCCAAAGGAATATGAGCTGGTGGCTCTCTACGTTAGAATTAGCGCCAATTATCACCTGACGTCATACCTTTTTTTGCCATATGCTTCACCCCCTCGCTCCTCATACGGAAAGTGTCAGATTAAAAAGTACGGACAATACGAGTACAAAATACATTATTGAGGATGGCCCAGCAAGTTCCTTCATTATTTATGAGACTATATTTGACGCCTTAGTGATCCTGATGGAGTATTTCATGTCCCCTTTTTTTTTGAAATGCTTAAGCCCAACCTAAAGATATTTCCGGGTCTTGAGTGCCGCTTCCGATTTCGGAGATCAATTACTTGATCCACTTGTTTGTTCTGCCATTACTTGATGAAATCTATGCCATCGGCCAGGCAGGCAACGTTGTTGTAACCCCCCATTTTGCCCCCCATTTCTCCTCCTGTTTTCCGCTGCTAGGCCGGTAGGATGTTTCTCCTGCTGCTTGTTGCTTGCTGGCTGCCATTCGTCGAAAAAGGAAACATTTATTTTTAAAATCAATAAGCAGCGCGCTGTTTGTTTTAGATACGAAATGGTTTGTTTTTCGATACCGAAAAACAAAAACTCAATTTCTTGGAGAAGAAAAGATTCTTTAATTAATTATTTATTTTCCATTTCTTTCGCTTGAAGGCTATTGCAGTAATGAGATTTTGTTAGTCTAGATATTAGACACTGCCTAGTTTTTCGCCTCGCTTTGCTCGGCTGGATATCCTTACAACAGAAAATTAAAAAAGAAAACTTGCGTTGTTTATTTTTATCTTTTTTCCACAACCTATACATTTACCTGATATTGCTCTTGTTTTCTATTTAAATTATGTTCTGAGATTAATATTTTCCCGAGTATTTTCCGATGACCAATTCGAGATTCAATTTTTGAGTAAAATTATTCATAAAAATAAAACAAGCAAATTTGTTTATACATATTATATTGAAATGAATCTACTACAATATCTACTTAAGGAATAAAAACAATAACAATAATTATGGAAAAACTTCGTGGGTTTAAGGACGAGAGGTAACCAGAAGAAACTGTTTAGTTTTCGGCATTTTTCGGAACTATATTTTTCTTTTTTCAAGCCTGAGATAGAGTTCCTGCAGCCAAGAGAAAAGCACAATCACATATATTTTACCAATAATAGGATTATTATTAGGTATAGTTTATGTCTTTGAACTTGACAAGGCAAAAGGAATAATATAGTTCCGAAACATCGCCGAAAACTAAGTATTTCCTTTTGCTTTTTCCCGTCCTCAAACCCACAAAATTCTTCCATAATCAACAATAATAACGAAGTAACAAATCCATTACTCGGATCGGATTGGATATTTATTTATTCCTCAACTCGCCATTAAAAATTATTAATTGTTCAAAAAAATGGTAATACAATAACAGTAAATCTCTGGGTAATCAATATCCACCAAAAACTAACTGAAATTAAAAAATAAAGAAACAAAATTCTGTATTAACGAAAATTATATATGTAGGTACATATGTTTTGGTAAATGTGCACATCAATAAAAATAAATGTAAAATATTATACACATTCAACATAACATATTATGTATATGTAATAACATCATAAATACCTAATCATAAAACATATGTATATCGATTGTTTATCACTATTTACAAAACAATAGAGTACCAAGAAGAGACTGATCATAAGATAATTCAATTTCGGAGAAGTTAATTTATTTTTATTTTGTGTGAGTAGATCTCTATCAATAAAAATCAATCTTTCCACAACCAAACCCACAAATTCATCTAAAACACATATAAATATCATGGCAAACTAATGTGGCCGAGAGCTGGAGGATTGATCCGGAGCCCCGAGTGGGGGCCGGGTTCCTTCATCATTAGTCTGTATAGAAACCGCTTGCGCTCCAATGACGGAAGTTTGTGACTCAACATTCTCCACGGTTGCCGGCACTGTCTGTATTGACTGACTAGTGTTTATCTGAAAAAGAATTTGTCAATCATAAAAAGAAATCAAAATCTTCGCGTCCTAAAAATGTTGAATCATAAAAAAGTAAGTCTCCATGCGGAAGCAGACAGCTACTTCCGACATATGAACGAGCACATCCACCACTAATAATATTCTCTTGAGAGAAGCAACTGGATTGCCGAAGCGCACACCCAGGGCACAGGTAAATACTGACAGTTATGCCACTAAGCTAGCTTCCAATATTATCAACAAAAAGTTCCACGAGGGAGTGCTATTTTTAGATATACAGGGTGTCCAAGATAAGGTTGTCTATCATGGGGATCTTGTAAAAGGTAGCAGATACGGCAATGGTTGAATGGAAAAAAAGTTGCGCAATTTACCGCTGAATAAAATGATACTTTTTTAAATTCTGATAACTTCCGGAGATATGGTGCATTTACATTCACACAAAAGTCCAATCTGTCTTGAAATTGACGTGCGTGTCATATGGCGGCAGCACAGATTCATTTACATTGTAATAAATTTGCAGTTCATTTTAAATTTGGGCGAGCTGCTTGCCGAGGGCAAGCAGAAGTTTGTGAAATGTCAAATTTTTAGATTCTCATAAAATTCTGACGTTTTGACTTAACGTTTTTTCTCAATTTCCAATATCGAATAAAGTGAAATTTGTTCTGCAATGTAAATGATAAAATATCAAACGTCAAATTTAACTTGAAGTTAGAAGTGTAAATGCTCCTATATTCGTTAAAAACCGAAATTTTCCGAAATTGTTTCTATTTTTTACTGTCTCAATTTTAAGAAATTTCAGTAAACTAACAGCACATTATTGGGGCTACTTTTTATGCCTCACAAGATAGCATACTTAAATTCAAAATATGATGTTTCGTTTTGTTTTTTCAAATACGGTCTTGTTATACAAATTACATTTTCTTGAAGGTTTTTCAATTTTCTACACGACAGTATATCACTTGTGATGATTTAATTACGTTTCGTTGCTGTACCAGCAATCATCAAGGTTCTTAAAATAATATTTGCACATACGGCCCTGTCAAGGCTCAAATTCGCCATAAAAACAAAACCCTAATTCAAAAATTAATAATTTTTTACGTTATTTTGAATAATTTACATTATTCTAAAAATATAACATCTTAGCAGGCACTGAAATTACTTGTTTTGAGCTTTTGACAGGTTTACAGACAAACATTTGACTTAAGTGTGCAAACATTGTAACAATTTGAATAGTAATTCCTATGCTAATGTGAAAATATGGAAATAAGTTTTCCCACAAAAAAAAAATAAAAAAATGACATATTTAAATGTTACATAGAGTGTCACAGTTTTGCTTGTAACATGTGAAGTTTATCAAAGTCTTTTTTTCTTTCAACTTTAATTTTATATAACCCTTTTAATGTTGACAGTCTGGTGACTAGCATTAAAAATACAAGGTTCCTGCTACTTATAATATTAGCAATTATTAAATTATTACACTAGAGGGCACGATTTTTATTTTAATTTGACGTACCGGTTAGTACCAACGATTTCCGTTGACTATTTGGAGAGGAAGCATTGTCTGCTCACCTTGTCCGTTTCAATTCTCTGGTCTTTTTAAATTGTGCCGTCGAGCTGGAAAGTCGATCGGCTGAAAATCGCCATTTTCTTGAGACAACCGTGCTCGTGGAAAAATAAAGTACCTACCTTATCAGCCTTCAGGCATTATCTTAACGAAATAAAGTTGCGTAAGGCAATAATCCGTTGATTACCGAAAAAAAATAAATCAAAAGTCTTGTGATAACTATTTTATTTGAGTTTGAATTTTAACCCCCCACGTGGTAAGTTTCTCAATTTTTTTTTTAAATAATAGCTTTTCAAGGAATGGCTCTATTACTTAGGGTCTTCCGAAGAGCCGTTTCTCCCAACTTATCTATCCCTAAAATCCCACATTTTCAATAAGAACACCATTTTCGTGGAGTGTGGCATAGAGCTTTTGAAGGGATTTCTACAAGAATCAGGAGCCTCACGAGTCGATACGTGTGCCCCACATTTAACGACAACTGAGAACTTCTAGTCCCCTATCTACCTTGATTCTAAGCTAGAATCTGCAACTTCTATGTGCAGTTTCCCTCGTCAAATGATCGAGAATGGATGGCTACCGTGCTCTACCTTATGTTTGAATGGAGGCTCGTATAAAGTTTCATTTATAACCTTTTTTTATAAAATTTACTTTATGTTCAATTACCATAATTGATAAAATTTTTATCGACATTACCGCTGGGCGTATGTATTTGAATAAGTAGGTACCCAGAAAGAAGACAACTAAGCAACAAAATTTTTGTAAGAATAGCAGGTAACCTTAGTCAGTATGGTTCCTTCAAAAAGCCAGTTTTATCAAGAAACAAACTTTGCAATCTAGAAAAAGAAAATAATGTGTACTCTTTGTAACAGAAAATCCTGAAATATCGCTTGACAACTCAAATCTCAAAATGCACTGCTCATTTTATTTTGCGAAAACATCGATATCACCCATAAAAATTTAGAATTTGCCAAGGACTTAGAGCAGGTGATTGCGGGTAAAACATGGGGTTGTAACCCATCAATTCTAAGATGGATGTATACCATGATAGTGAGACCTATCATTCATCACGTACGGAGCGGTAAGCTGGTATAGCCGAACCCAGTTAGTAACAACTAGGAAAACCCTAGGAGAAGTGCAAAGTGCGTGTCTCTGTATAACAGGAGCAATGAGATCATGCCCAACCGCGGCACTAGAAGTCATTCTAGACGTCACACCACTCCACATAATAGTGAAGCGGCATGCCAGTGGATCATATCTCAGACTGAAGAAGATAGGTCTACAAAGGAAAACGCACCTTGGCAGAACTTTTCCTCTCCCAAACTGTGCACACCTCATGGATCTTCCAAAAGACGTGATTGTTGATAAATTCAGTTTCGAGAAAAACTTTCCATCGAACTAAGTACAAAAACAGATGGAGCATGGAATCTATCTAATCTCTTAAAGCAAACACCATCAAATGGTACACAGAGGGTTCCGAAACTGCTGAGGGAACTGGAGCCGGAGTATTCGGGCCACGGATCATATACTCGGAGCCAATGGGTAAATCACCAAGCATATTTGAAGCGGAACTTTATGCGATCGGAAGATCCGTGAAGTTCAACCTGAACACAAGTTATCGGAAACGAGAGATTGTAATAATGACTGTCAGCCAAGCAGCTAACAAAGCATTGAGATCCCCGGTCATCATTTCTAAGACAGTATGGGAATGTCTACAGAAATTAAATGAGCTGGGAAAGCAAAACAAAGTAACTCCTCCTCTAGGTTCCCGGACACATAGGTGTCGAGGGCAACGAATGCGCAGACAGACTCTCAAGAACCGGAGCGTCTACTCCCTTCACTGGGCCAGAACCATCTTGCGGCGTCGGAAATACGGACCTCCAAGAAAAAGAAGAAAACCGGCTGAGGAACAAACAATGGTTAGAACACCCAGGACTACAACAGGCCAAATATCTATTGGACAACTTCAACCAAAAAAGATCAGAACTGCTGGTCAACCTTAGCAAGAAAAGTCTCAAAACTCTAACCGGGTTTCTCTCGGGACATTGCAGACTTAAGAAACATCTACAGAAGTTGGGGCTAGAAGAAGGTGGCACCTGGAGATTCTGCGAAGACAGAGAAGAGACTCCTCACCATCTTCTACTAAACTGCGATGCCATTAGTCGCTCAAGGATGAAGAACCTGGGAAGTGCCCTTATACAGTTGGAAGACATTTCAGCCCCGGAACCGCTAGACATCCTAAAATTCCTAAGGGACCTAGGACTGGAGGGGCTGCTTTAAACGGGAAACCTGAACTTAGCAGCAGAAGGAGGAGTACAATAGATCAACCTTGGTCGCGGTGCAACTGACACCTCCAACACACACATACACATACATAGACCAGGTGATGAGGTAAAACGAAGAACCTTTTGTGAGTGGTACACAAGGAATTGCCAGATAGATGCAAACTTTCCTCATAAAATTATCTGGTCGGCCGAGAGTATGGTAAACAACAATGGAATTTTCAACCGAAAAAATACCCATTATTGGTCCAGCGAAAACCCTCGCGTTCATCGGATGGCAATGTTTTTAACTAGTTTGCTGGTTCAAATTGTACTGATTTAATTGACCTATAAATAAAGGAAAATAGAATTAAAAACGACTTTGGAAGGCTTTAATTAATTGGATTTATTTCACAACAGTAACACAACGTCAAGAAATTGGAATAGAAATCAGATCAATAATCAGAAATGTCATATTTACATTTCATATCTTCATCCGGCAACGCGGTCGTTTTTTGCTTGCGCTGCCACCTCCAGGTGTGTCATCTGCGTGATCTTGATCCGCGGTATTGTTAAAAACATTAAAACTCACTTAATAGCAACAAGGATGAAAAAGTTTTTAATTTTTGCAATGGGTGGCAATTTCTGGCACGCGTATTATTGGTCTTTTTTTTATTACGGTTCGCTTACAGCAGCACGATATCGTCTTCTATTAGAAAAAAACATGGAACAAGCCTTAGAAAACTTATCTCTTGCAGTAATTCAAAATTGTTGGTTTCTACAGGATGGTGCTCCTGCGCACAACGTCAGAGTAATACAGGATTACCTATTAGAAGTATTTCCAGAAAAATGTATAGGCACATATTTGACAGTTTCTTGACCACCTCTTTCTCCGGATATCACTCGATTTTTTTTCTTTGAGGATACATAAAAGATTATGTTTATGTCATAATATACTCCGGAGTAGGTATCACGCCCGATATGCTAAGAAGAGTTTTGAATCATACAGTTGAAAGGTGTTTCGTTAATCGTTGGACGGTATACATATTATGATGTATTTTAGTATACAATCTAATAATATTCAATACCATTAGAAACATTTATTATAGCGTATCTGAATTTTATTTGTAGTCAAAATGGCGAATTTGAGTCTTAACAGGGCCGTATGTGAAAATATTATTTCAAGAACCATGATGATGGCTGGTACAGCAACGAAACGTAATTAAATCATCACAAGTGATATACTGTCGTATAGAGAATTAAAAAACTTTTAAGAAAATGTAATTTGTAGAACAGGATCGTATTAAAAAAAAAAAAAAAAAAACAAAGATGATGATGGTAAACCGCAAACAAAACAGTAGATTTTGAATTTAAGTATACTATCTTATAAGGCATAATAAGTAGCCCTGATAATGTGCTTTTAATTTTCTAATATTTTTTTAAATAAAGGCAGAAAAAAAAAAAAACAATTTCGGATAATTTCGGTTTTTCACGAATATCTCCGAAAGTTGTCGGAATTTTACAAATGTAAACGAACATTTTATTGAGAGTTGAATTGCGTAATTTTTTTCCCATTTAACCATTCCCGTATCTACTACCGTTTACGAGATCCCCATGATAGGCAACCTTATTTTGACCACCGTGTATATCAGAGGCATCCGACATTGTTTGGCCTTGCGTCCTTTGAATCAAAATTGTCAAGCAAGTTATCCAGACTAATTAAATGACCGCTATCTTTCTTCGCAACTTCTACGCAGCTAGAGTAGGAGAAGGGTCTATCGATCCTCCCTTTTCAACTTATATACCTCCCACAAATAATTAATGACAGACAAAAAGAAAAAAAAAACAAAATTGAAATTATATGTCATCAGAGAATAACAAAGAAATAGGAGATATATTAGACCATATTACAAGATCTCTAGCAGAAGTAATGATATTTGTCCATTTTATTAAATTTTGTATTCAAAATTTCCTGAAGATAATCTCTCCACAAGAACATCGAGAAAGACAATCCCTCTGCTCTTTTTTTTATCTACTTGGTGTTTTGTATTCTCAAGTCAATTGATCTGAGATGATTCAGAAGTCTCTTCCGCATGGTTCCAGTAGAGAACAAAGGCATAGTCCACATAGACAAACAAAACAAAAAAGTTTCTTTACGGCGTATCCTAGTGCCAGCGTCCAGCTGTTAGCTGTTCAAAATATTCCATGTAGGTAGCAGTTGGTTATGTGGACTCTCCATAGCCAATCCACACGTTCGTTCATAATAGTTATTTTTCTACTGACGTTTCATAATACGCCTATTGAACAAATAAAATCTGTTTATAATGAATAAATTCTTGGGTTGTAGGTGGAAGAATGAAAACTATTTAATTGTTTCGACTTCAATTTAGTCTTTTTCAAGCCTCAACAATTTTTTGTTTTCTTGATCCACTCAACATCAGTGCAGCCAAATTAGTCTGAAGAAAAAATAAAGAGAAACAAAGAAGCTGCGTTATTCAGAAAAGTTGCTCAATCAGGGCATGGTTCTGGTTTTTCAAACATTCATGGCAATTTTGTACTGTTTCCATGATATAATTATTAATATTGGGCCACCATACAGTATGGTTTGCTCTAGATTTGCAACAATGTATGCCTTGATGTCCAATATGAATTTGATTTAAGGTTTCTCTGTACATAGATGAAGGAATTATAAGCCTGTCTTTGTAATACAATGACATGTCTCAGTTACTTGTGATGCTTTTTCTGACCACCCCTGCATTAGATATTCACTAAGTTTTTGAAACTCTTCTTGCTGTGCTTTTTCAACCATTTGGTGTGTTAACTTCAAGTTATCTTCAGTTTCTTTCCTTATAACATTATACATAGCATTCCAATACATCTTTTCCATTATCTATCTATTTCAGTGGCTGTTTTGATTACATATCTAGTGCATAGAATTTTTTTCCGGCGACATGTTCAATCTCAAATGTGAATCTAGTTAATCTAAGTCTAAATCGTTGCAATCTCACAGTCAAATCATTTATAGATTTCTTCTCCAAGATACTCAAAAGTGGTAAATGGTCAGCTTGTATAGTAAATAATTCACCTATTAGGTACTCTTCCAGTCTTTCATATACCCATAAGCTTCCTTTTCAATTTGGGCATAGCGTTGTTGTCTTTCATTTAAACTTTTTGTACAATAAATAACATGAGCTCATCTCCCATCTGGTTGTAATTGTTCTAAACAGCCACCAATTTCGAAAGAACTCGAGTCTGCGAAAATTCTTGTTTCTTTAGTACCATCAAAACCTTCAAAACTGGTGCATTTGTGACAAGCATTTCCAATTTATTAAAACACTGTTGATGGATATCGTTTAAACTGAAAAGTACTGTTACGTTTTAAAAGTTACCATAGAGGTTTTGTTTCATCTGCAATATTTTTAAGAAATTATGTAAGTATCATACCTAGAAACTGCCTTAAATTTGTCAATGTTTTGGGTTATTCAAAGTCTAGCTTTTATATTGTCACTAACCATTTTTATACCCGATTTTCCGATAATGTGTCCAAGTAATTTCACTTCCGAAATGCCTATCTGACATTTTGACTCGTTTAAAGTAAGTTCATTATCTCATAACACTTTAAGCATTTTTTTTAAACCTTTCATAATGCTGTCCAACGTTTTCTCCAGAAACTGGTAATAATACCCCTTCATGGTTATTGAAAAATCTATTCATTGTACTCTGAAAAATTTCTAGAGCTGAAATAATTCCAAAAGGAATTCTCTTGTAAATGCACCTTCCAAAAGGTGTTAAAAAGGCAGTGTAGTGCTTCGAACCTTCTGATAATGGAAGTTGCCAAACACTTGGTACACAATCTAATTTTGAAAATACTTTTGCATTTCTTATTTGTGCCAGTATAGAATGTTGGTAAAATAATTTTTTCTCTTAAAACAAATTTGTTGAGGTCAGTAAAGTCAGCACATATTCTAACTTGATCATTTGTTTTGGGGACACAAACCATTGGTGCACACCATGGAGTAGGATTATTGTAATCCACCTGCTCTATCATTTTCTGTAGCTCTCTTTTAACTTTATGCATTAATGGAAGTACTATTCATCTGGGTGCTGAAATTGAATATATGGCACACAGTTTTCTATCACTTTTATCTTGTATTCGTAGTCTTTTAATTTCCCAATTTTGTTGAAAAGTTCTGGGGAAAATTATGTAATTTTTCTCGAACATAGTTGTTTATAGTCTATTTTTTTGAAAGCTGGTATAATCAATCAAACTCAACCAATTTTAATCCCCTAAAGGCGCATCCTCAATCAATCTGGTAGCGAAGTGGTACTTCGGCACGCATGCTAGGACAATGTTGTTTAACGTTGGCATCCTCAATTCAATTCCGTGCTAGCATGCACGCCGACTCCGAAATGCAAGCTTGCAAGCTGCAAGTTTTTTGATGCGTGACAACTTCTGTCATGCACAGTACATTGAATTATCATTACATAAATTGACAGCATTGAAGATGGGTATCAATTTTCCAGCACGCGTGCCGAAGTGCCACTTCGCTACCAGATTGATTGAGGATGAAGCTTAAATCCTTTGAAGAGTGAATGAACCACCTACAATAAACGATGAGGTGACAGTTTGATTATACCAGCTTTCAAAAAAATAGACTATAGTACTAACATTTTCTGGGCATTGATGCTGAGCACTTGAATTTGAGCTAAGCTTCGCTCCATTCTATCTAGTTGGGTTTGCAATTGCTCATTTATTGCCGAAATTCTTCCATTGCGAGTAATTTCTCTAAATTTTCCAGCTTGATGACATTTGAGGTTAGGCCACGGAATTTTTGAACTACTTCCCTGATTTGACGATTTTACCCGAAAATTTTTACACCTGACACCATGTTACATTGGATACTTTAAGTTGGTATTGGTTTAGTACATTGAGGTTTTAAAGTAAACTTCCAAATAAAACTGTGGGAGCGTCTCATGCGACTTTTATTCTCTGACACATAAGTGACATTACAGACCTTCTGGATCCCGTCACACATTGAAAATAAAAGCACGATCCAACCAATTCGATTCAGCAAAAAAAAAAAAAAAAACTTGAAGGATTTTATTTATTTCATCGAGAAGAGCAGTTTCGATATTGTACATCTGTTTATTTATAATGGCAGAACACATTAGAAATATGTTTCAACATTGCCTATTCACCAAATGTTTCCAATGGAAGAATGAATGAAGTATACAAAAAAGTATACCTGAAAACGAATACATACAAACAAGAATCCTAGGTAAATATCATGATACAAACATATTAGAATCTGTACCAAAGTAACTGGTGAACTTCCAAACATTCAGTAATCGCTGAGATTCAGAAGATCGGATTGGGCACATAATGAAAAGTAAATAAAACCAACTCAAAAGCCTAAGCGGGATTAATACATTCCGTAACGTATCCGTAACGCAGCAAAATGCAAGCATTTTGAAAATTAAAATTTATACATTCCTTGCGTTACGTTTGGCATATGCGTCGCAGCATAGGTTTGCCCAGCACCCCGGAAGCATTTCCATTCTATTATTTTTGAAATATTGTTGAGTTTTCATTGATCACACGCAAGAACGCAAGGTAAAAAGTTGAAAGTTGGTCAACTTTTGCGCTACGTTACGTTACGGATATACGGTTGCGTTAAAGTATAAATTTCTCCACTTAAATGTGTATGTTTAACTTCTTACGGTTACGTTGCGTCAATCTATAAATTGGGCTTAATACTTACCGGCTGCGCAAGCGTGCCAACAGTAGAAGTAGCCCGAGCTGAATCTGTTGTTATTGTCGATGTAGAAGTAGCAACTGTAGACGTGGCAACTGCAGATGCAGGACCAATGGCAATGGTGGAAGTTTGAGTGGTGGCTGAAGGCCTCACCGCGGATAGGAATTGGCTAAATCGTCTGCTGAAAAGAATATATTCGTTTAAATTCAAATATCAGGCAGCAATGGTGAAATAACTCCTACCTAATTTGCGGGAAGCTATTTATATGTGTTGCATCTGCGGGAGGAGCTGCTGGCTGTTGTTGTGCAGGACGTATTAACAGTTGCTGGAACTGAGCTTGTTGCAGTATCAGCGGAAGTTCGTAGTGGTGGAAAAAGTATAACATGGAATGCTGAAACGAAAAACATATCGTGAATGTAGAAGAATAAATAGGGTTTGTTGTTACTATACTGAAAAGCGAACCACTGGAATTTGGAATTTCAACGCAATGGTAAAAAACTTGTTATCTTGTCAAATATGCCATTTTGGCAAATAGACACTAATTGACGTCACACACATAACCTCGAGAAAGGCACTATTTACGCCTCAATGATTTACACCCATGAAAAAAGTACGCAAATAAATGTAAATAAATATCGTTTGTTTATCCCAATGGCATGTTTGTTCCCCTATCAAAAGTGGTGTTATGATATTTGTGACGTAATAGCTTGCCCCTAAGTTAGGCGTATGTAAATAGTCCTTAAACGCTTAGTTTGTCAGACCATCGAAAGTGAGATGGCGTTTCCGATTGGTATATTCAGTGCGCACTGAGTGTATTTGCATCCTTTTAATAGAAATGTAGAAGAAAAAGACAGAAATAGAAAAAATTGCAATATAGTGGCCGAGTTCGTTTTTGTCATCTTTTTCGTCGATTTGCTCCGAAATTTTGACAGGCACGTGATTTGTAAATTGAAACTGTCTTATCTATTCACGTGCCTGTCAAAAATTCGGAGCAAATCGACGAAAAAGATGACAAAAACGAACTCGGCCAGTGTATTTTTTCCCAAAATGGATTTTGACATTGAAAACTTTCAAACTAAACAATACCGCTTGGCCCTGATTGGTGGCAAAATGACTGCAGGTTGACATCAGTTTTGCAATGCATGTCGTGCAAATGGCATCTTGCGACCAATAAGTGGCATTGTTTATGTTTCAAACTTGACAATGTCAAAATCTATTATAGGAAAAAATACAGTATAGTTCCGCACTAGATCTACCAATCGGAAACGCCATGTGAAAGATTTCCCTTTTGATATGGGAGAACCTTGGTGTCGGTATTTTCACAGTGCCCTGTAGAGGTGACGACTGTGAAGGGTTTTCGTCTTTAGGTAGAGTGCAGCCTCACACTCTGGGTATAGGCTTAGGGTTTTGTGGTAAGTGAGTAATACACCAGTAAAGGTTTGATACTAATTTATTATTTGAAATGAGCCGATATTTATACACAAAAATTATTAATAAAATAAACGTAATTTGGAATGATGATGATTTTGCAGATTGCTGCAATTAGGTTGGTATTTTAAAACTTGCTAGTTAATTAATAACAATATTGGATTATTGTTTGTATTACATGGTTGCGTCAATGCAGGTCAATATAATCAAACTGGTCCACTTTATGGTTTTTTAACTAAATCCTATAAATTTCTCTTATGGCTAATTTTGAATACTTCTCAAGATTAGACACCATGTGAGTTTATATGTGTGACGTCAGCTAGTGCCTAAATGACAAGAGCATTCCCAGAAAAAATGGATTATGGCGTTTCGGATTGGTAGATTCAGTGTTCACTGAGTGTATTTGCATCCTTTTAAACGTCATGTAGAAGAAAAAAACAGAAATAGAAAAAATTGCACTAGTTCCGCACTAGATCTACCAATCGGAAACGCCCTTAGTAAGAAGTAAGGTAGATGTTGGTACATACATACAGGCATGAGCATTCAAAGTGGGGCACCAGATTTTTATTAGGTTTGTTCGGACTTAGTTCAGAATCAGTTCTGAATTAAACTGCGCTTGCGCATTTGTTTATATATGTTCAATATAAACAAATGCGCAAGCGCAGTTCAATTCAGAACTGTTTCTGAACTAAGTCCGAACAAATCTATTATTGTAAAACGAGCTCACCAGAGCCGCTTTCGGGTGCAGAGTGCGAAGCTTCTAGAACACTTCACACCTGTCATACTCCATGCATTTTGCATTCGAAGGCTTGAAACCGAACGGGGTCAAACTGTAGTTAGAGTACTTCCGAGTAACTCGGGAGCGCTCAAAGGATGGCACCCGAAAGCAGCTCAGGCTATACCACAACCGCCTTTACGTATCCAGCCATGAACAGACATGAGGCAACACTGCATCATCAATGACTTGGTGGTCGGGCCGTCGCGTGTTGCGTTGCTTTCTGGCAGTTTAATTTGGCAGTTTAACAAGGGATAAAAAATATAATTTTTTTTATTGTAGATGTTTTATTTTATAGACACAGATGTGATTGGATACCAAATTATTGTTACGATTTCTGTTTTATGATACACTAAAATCCGAGCTAAAATCATATAATCCAAATATTCTAAAGTCTGTTTTTTTTTTTAAGATAAAAGTCAAAATGACATTATGTTGGCATTACAATGTGAAATTGTCAATGCTTTCAAATTTTTTGACTAGAAAAGGCTTGTGTTGCCAACATAGTTAAAGTCATAGACAATAAAAAATAAAAAGACCTTCAAAAGTATAGCCGAAATAGGTTATACTATTACTGCGCATCCGGTTGCGCATAGCGCATTGCGGAATTTTTGGAAAGCTAGAGACCTACGAAAGATTAGTCCGATCATTCGATTATGTTTCATCTTTCTCTGTCATACCAATTCATAAGACAAGGACGTCGTATGAGTTACAGAGCTTTCCTAGCTGTTTTGTAGAAACCTATCAAACATCCATAACTATAGAAACTGTGACCGAGAAAACAAATAAGTAACCTTAAAATAACGACATTTCGGTGTTGAAATTTGTCATTTTTAACCGATTGGGCGGTCGTCTAAGAAGACTCGAACTCACAAAATCTAAAGAACAAAAAGAAGAAATTGTCATTTTTATTAAGGCACTCGGTATCGCGTACCTATAATATTATGTACAACTAGGATAAACTGAACCAGTAAGTATACATGTTAGTTTTGTGATATACGGCATATTTTTTTACTGTTTTAGGAGACCTCAGTCAGAAGAGATAAAATGTAGATGTTAGGCCTTGGCCAGCTTAGCTTGTACATACATTAAAGCATGTATAAGGGATGTAATAACTGTGTTTGTAAACTCTTTAGGTATTTGACCTATCTAGCTATAATATATATTTTTTCTAGTACAATTTAGTGTTTATTTTGCCTTTTTTTTTAATCTACATCAAAAAATGGCACAAAACTGTATGGAGTACCACATAATTTTTCTCATTCGGATTTGAGAAAAAAAGATGTGGAACAACATAAGTAAGTTTTTTGTGCAATCAACTCAAGTCAAATTTCAAAATTCCCGCCATTTCAGTATTTGTTCCGGCTGCCACTATTGACGCCACCGTCGCTGTGACGTCAGCGCTATACAAACTTTCATGTTATCAATCAGGTACTCTTACCTTGGTTTATTATATTTCTCTATGGTTAGAGTGCATTTTTTTTTAAAAGATAAAAGTCAAACTGACATTAGGTTGGTAATACAATGTAAAATTGTCAATGCTTTCAAATTTTTCATGTAGAAAAGGCTTGTGTTGCCAACATAGTTACTAGATTTTTGACTTGGGGAATTATCTTTTAAAAAAAAAACGCACTTTACTAAATTTTTGACTTTGGGAATTATCTTTAAACAAAAAAACAGACTTTATAGTTTTGTAATAGGCTCCTTGCATCAAATTTTTTTTATTGCTGATTTCGATAATCCATGAAAAATAAGTCAACACGTGCTTTTTCTTTTGCTTCTTAGTCAAAAATTGACGGAGATACAACACTATGAAATCTGCCTATGACGTCACTTATCTAATAAATAAGTGACGTTGCACATGCTCAGTATATCTATATATACAAAACTTAATATTTGAATAACTGCCGGAATAATCATATTTGGGCGAAATAAAAAAAAGTAACGATTTTTTTTCGATTTCCTACAGTTTGCAATAAACTATAATCAATTTAATTTTCCATGCAAGTACCCTATTGTTCAGTTTATATAGGCATAGATTAGGTACCTATAGATTACCTGGATTGCGACACCAGAAAAAATGTTAAGCTGCGTATCGATTACCCGCGGCAAAATGTCGAACATTGGCTCACGCGGCAGCCGCGCTCAATGGATACTACTTGCCGCGCGAGCCAACCCGTGCTCGAACACGCCACGGTGCGAACCAGTTTCTGTCGGTATTTGAAGCGCGGCAAAGAAAATGATTGCATCAAGTTGAGACGCTTGTGTCGTTATTCGAGTTGGATGGCGCGGCAAAATGACGTTTTGTGGCAGGCTGCTCGTGCATGTGAAACGTCCATGGTTGCTTCGCGAAAACTAAACAAACATCTGGATCGCATGCCGCGAGCGGCAGCCGCGCTTTAACAAAGTTCGTGTCTCAAGTGGTTCGCGCGGCAAATGAAGGTTTTTTGCTGCCTCGCGAAATCGATACGCGGCTTTAGAAGTTTTTATTGACCTTTTGTTTGGACGCCATATTGCGGTGCGCGAACATAGTTGCCAAAAGAAGAAAACAAAAATTACTAGCGGGCTGTCAACATTAAAAACAAAAGTAACTAAATGATTGATCCTCGCTATCCTTTTTGTTTGTTTACGTTCTCTCTCTGATTGATGAAAGACAATGAAAGTAAATAGGTAGATATTTTATTATTTCTATTCTGCCCAACACAAGCTAAAATTAATAATTTTTCTTTTCAAAAACATTCGTAATAGGCGGCAAATTTAAATTTTAAATGTAATTTATTCAGTAACTTTTGTTTTTAATGTTGACAGTACGCTAGTAATTTTTTTTTTTCTACTTTTAGCAACTATGTTCGCGCACCGCAATATGGCGTCCAAACAAAAGGTCAATTCAATCCTAAAAGTTGAATCAATAAATTATTGAGAAGTATTAGAGTTTCAGTGGTTTTCCTTGATATATTACATGAGGTTATGGACGTAGCAGAATACGGGTAATGGTATGCATATGCGGTAGAGCATAAATAAATTTCTGTCCACAGAAGAAATATTGTAAAATGGAGAAAAAAATAAGTATAGAACCATTGAATGGAAATAATAATTATCACACGTGGAAATTTAGGGTTGAATTAATATTGGCAGAATATGATGTATTAGCTTTTGTAGAAAATGAGGTAGCCCTAGAAGATAACGCA